TTAGGTATGTGGGTGAAGGTAACGCTATAAAAATAAGTGAAGTGAATATATATATATAGTTAAATTAATTCACTAATAATATACATAGAGAAATTAATCAATGATGTAACACTAGCAATATTTATTGGAATCATTTTGTAATTTGTATGGCTTTTAATCCTTTTTTACTGACATTTAAATTTTTTCTGGATAGTAAGAAATAGATAAGAGTTCGGTTAAAATATATATTTATATTTTTTTTATTTACAGATAACAAAACGAGTTCGGATAAAATATATAATCATATATATATTTTTATTTTCAGATTACAAAAGGAGTTCGGTTAAATATATTAAATAACAACAAATAATATAAGGTTTAAATTTAATAAAAACCATGTTATGGTAGAAAGTTTATATCAAGTGTTTTTTTTTATATTATTATTATAAACTAGTATTTGTCCCGTGCGATGCATGAAAATAAAAATATACCCTAGATGAGGTTTATTCATATATAAAATTTTTGTTATTTAATAATTATATGTGTGAATTCCCATGATAAAATTATGAACATAAATATAATTACAATTAAAATAATATTTAAGGAGGGTGATTACTACAAATCTTAAACTATATTAAAAATTTAGTACATAATATTTAATAATACAAATTTTTAAGAACTTAATAAACTACAATAGTAATTGAATTACAATTTTAGAGTCACCACTTATCAAAATTTTTCGACCTTTGAGATTTCTAACACTAGATGTAGCAACATACAATTGACATTTAAAGACCAAAATCACAATCTTAGTTCGAACATTGATTTTTTCTTCCAAATACTATCGAATTAAGTGTGTAATCAATAAAAGATGAGAACTAATAATTCGAGAATATAATCTTAATGTTACTAAGCCTACTTCACGTCAATTAAGTTGGATAGTGTTGTTGGATAGTATCCGATGAATCCACGAATAACGCATCTTTGTCTTCGTAGTCCTCAATATGCACATCAACAATCTTATATATTAGGCCGCCTAGCTATGCCATATATTAATTTCAAACTTATGAACTTTGGGGTTGCATGCAATAAAAAAGTATATTTTAAATATACTAAGGGTACATTATATATGTATGTAAGGTACTTTCAATATAAAAATAATGTATTTTTAATATATTAAAAATGTATTTGATATTCATGATCCATACAATTATGAGGACCATCGTTCACACAATAATTTGCCAGTAGAAATTGAAATATAAATAAATATAATAATTAAATAAATAAGTAAATATATATATATATATATATATATATATATATTAGAAACTGTTAGTGGAAATTATTATCATTATTATTATTGCAATTATTATTGTTATTGTTATTATAATTAACAATATTATTATGATATTGTAAAAATTAAATGTTGATTATTACCATTTAATTTTCACAAGACCATATGGCTTTATTATATATAGGATTTACATTTTTCTTTCTAATTTTATCATTCATCTTTTTCTTTTTACAGTTTTCTTAAATATTATTTATTAATTAAAATAAATTAAATTAAAAACCTCTCATAAAGGTATAAATGGTATTGATTGCTTTACTTTGTTGTTTTTATCTTGTATATTTATTGATGGTTTCCATTGAAAGAACAAGTCTATGCATAGGGTAAAGGGTTTGAATAATAGACTTATTAAATGCTATAAATTTTACCAATTTGGCGTGATACATGCTTCCTCTTGTTACCATTTCCGCCATAAATAAATTTTTGACTAATTAATCAAAGTTCATATTAAATTTTATATTCTATTTTTTAATCCACTCTAATTTTATTAGGGCATAATTTTATTAGCTCTTATTAAATTGGTTTGTAGATATAGATATGATTTTTAAATAATTAATAGGTGGAATATTTTTAAATAATGGTTTGGATTGACCGTTTATTTTAACGGATGAATAAAAAGAATTTTATAATCTCTAAAAGATTTTAATTAAAATTTTTGACCAGGCTAACTTTATCTTCTTCTTCTTCTTCTTCTTCTTTTTTTTTTTTTTTTTTTTGAATGATAAGTGAAACTTGAAAGTTGAATTTTATTAATCTATAAAAAAGATTTTAATTATGTAAATCACACCCTCCTGTGTAATAGCTGGTAAACCCCTTAGAGAAATTTTATCCATTTTGATCATATCAACTCCATCTATTGAAAAAAAAAAAGGAAAAAACTTAAATGTTATTTGTTCCCAATTTGGAAAAGATTTAAGGGTGTAACATAATCAGAGAAATTTCCATAATAGGCATTAAAGATGGACTAGGTTTTCTTCACTATAAAAATAAGAATCATTTCTATCGAATTCAAGCATTGATAACATCAGAAAACATAATCGGTGCAACTCAATTCTTCAATTATATTATATAATATTCGATGTTATTATTTATACAATTGTATATCGATCTAAATATTTTTAAAATATTATAACAAATTTATTCCGTGCAACGCACGTGCGCAAATACTAGTATACTTTAAGGAAACTTTGTATGGATTTTTTTTTCCAATTTCTACATTTAAAACAAATAGACCAAATTCTATGAATGAAATTTTTTTCGTTGGCCCACCCAATTTAATTCCTCCAAACTCCAGTTGTCTAACCCTAACCCTTTATTTGCCAGTTACCATTTCCCCCATCTACCCTCCTCTCTCTCTCTCACTCTCTCTATAAGCACCAAAATCCTCTTTGTTAATCCTCCGTTTCCATTTAATATATTTCAATTATTTATACTCAATACCTTTTCTAAATAGAAAAACAAATGGGCCCAATTCTCTAAATGTAATTTGTTTTCGTCGACCAACCCGATTTCCTCCCGTCCAAATGTCTAACCCTAACCCTTTATAAGTTCTTTAACATTTTCCCCCTCCACCCTCCGCTCTCTCTCTCTCTCTTTCTAAGAACCGAAATCCACTCTCTCTCAAGTCTCCTCTCACTTTAATCTTCTCTCTCGCTCTCAATCTCTTTTGACTCTCGTTTCTCGATTGGAAAAAAAAGTTTCTATACATCTATCAACCCGATCTCATTAATCGTCATCGAAACTCCTTAGATTGAGAAGGTAATCTCTACGGTCTCATCCACTTTACTTGCACTAGCTATAAGACTTCAAAATTTTTTGAATTTGAACCACAAAAAAATTGTTTTCTTTGTAAAGAAATCAAATTGTGAAAACATTGACAAATTCATTTCGGAACATGTGTTATTGACTTCATCTCTCTCTCTATCTTTATATATATATATATATATATATATATATATATATATATATACACACACACACACACACACACACACTTCTAAAAAAATTTAAAGTTTTCATTTTCATTAGAAAGCTATTAAATATGTTCAAATCTATTTATTTATTAATTTGGAAAATATGAAACTAATTTGCACTATTTTTTTTTTCTTCATAAAGAAATAAAAATGCAGTGACAATTGATAAAAGTATCAAGTAATATTTATATATGGCCTTGTGGTTAGGTAGATGGGATTAAGTTAGAAATAACAGTACAACAAGTAAAAGAAATATGAATGCAATAGATAGATGCATATGTTGCATGTAATGGTAAGTAGACAATTGTGGAGAATTGATAGTTGTGGATGGATTAAATAGATAGGTGATAGTAGGAATAAATAAATAGGTTATGATGCGTAAAAGGAATATGATTATACTACACGAATATAGGAAATAGTGATGGTAGGGGTAGGTAGGTGGTGTTTGATGATTAGGTATGTGGGTGAAGGTAACGCTATAAAAATAAGTGAAGTGAATATATATATATATATATATATATATATATATATATATATAGTTAAATTAATTCTCTAATAATATACATACAGAAATTAATCAATGATGTAACACTAGCAATATTTATTGGAATCATTTTGTAATTTGTATGACTTTTATTCCTTTTGTACTGACATTTAAATTTCTTGTGGATAGTGAGAAATAGATAAGAGTTCGGTTAAAATATATTTATATTATTTTTTTTTATTTACAGATAACAAAAGGAGTTCGGTTAAAATTTATGTTTATATATATATATATATATATATATATATATATATATATATATTTCAGATTACAAAAGGAGTTCGGTTAAATATATTAAATAACAACCATAAATATTAGGTTTTAATTTGAATAAAAACCATGTTATGGTAGAAAGTTTATATCAAGTGTTTGTTTTTTATATTATTACTATACATTTACATTTTTCTTTCTAATTTTATCATTCATCTTTTTCTTTTTACAGTTTTCTTTAATATTATTTATTATTTAAATTAAAATAAAATAAAAACCTCTCATAAAGGTATAAATGGTATTGATTGCTTTACTTTGTTGTTTTTATCTTGTATATTTATTGATGGTTTCCATTGAAAGAACAAGTCTAGGGATAGGGTAAAGGGTTTGAATAATAGATTTATTAAATGCTATTAATTTTACCAATTTGGCGTGATACATGCTTCCTCTTATTACCATTTTCGCCATAAATAAATTTTTGACTAATTGATCAAAGTTCATATTAAATTTTATATTCTCTTTTTTAATCCACTCTAATTTTATTAGGGCATAATTTTATTAGCTCTTATTAGATTGGTTTGTAGATATAGATCGATATGATTTTTAAATAATTAATAGGTGGAATATTTTTTAAATGATGGTTTGGATTGACCGTTTAAATATTACACCCTCCTGTGTAATAACTGGTAAACCCCTTAGAGAAATTTTATCCATTTTGATCATATCAACTCCATCTATTGAAAAAAAAATGGAAAAAACTTAAATGTTTGTTGTTCCCAATTTGGAAAAGATTTAAGAGTGTAATATAATCAAAGAAATTTCCATAATAGGCATTAAAGATGGATTACGTTTCTTCACTATAAATAAGAATTAGACGTCATACACTACTTCTTAACAATCTATCATTTTCCAGCCGGCCGGCAGCCTCTCACTATTCCCAATTATGTCGATGCTATCCCTTGCCTCTAATCGTCGGAAAGTAAGCAACCTTCCTCGGAGCCCACTTCCTCATCTACCACAGGATCTCATATTCTCCGACATTCTGACAAGGTTGCCGGCGAAACCTCTGCTGCGTTTCCAATGCGTTTCAAAGGCGTGGCTTGCTGTGATCTCATCGCCCGAATTCGTCAAATCCCACCTGGATTTCCACAAGAATGACGAGGAGGATAAAGTAGCCACGTTTGCTGCCACCGATGACGGGCTCCACTTGTCCCTCTTTTCCATCCTGGCCGAGGAGGACCAATGCCCTACAAACTGCTCATCACTTAAGGTCCCCGAAGTGGCCATCAGGTATCTGGGAACCCACAACGGACTCCTGTGTTTCCGAGGAATGGACCAGAAAGTCGTGGTGTGCAACCCTTGCACGAGGAAAATTAAGAAAATCGACGACGCGCCTGGCTGGCCGTCTGTCGGGATGTATGGGTTTGGATACGACCAACAAAACTGTGACTATAAGGTTGTGTACGCTTGTCGTACCCAGACCTTCAACGACTATGATGTTTTGGTGTACAGTTTCAGGTCGGGTTCCTGGGAAAACATCCCAAATGGACTTAGGGCCGGCATTGTTTACCCCAACATCGGCGTCCACATCAATGGGACGCTAAACTGGTCAAGCAGCACAATGGTGGCTCGTGACAATTGGGAATCCAAAATTGTCTCTTTCAATCTGACAACAAATTCCGCCGTCATTCTGTCCGGGCCGAAGCCCGAAAGGAGCGGAAACATTTCCCTATGTGAATCGAGGGGGTTTCTCCTGGCGTCTTGGTTTCAGAGAGACAAGGTGAGTGTTTGGAAGATGAGAGAATTTGGGGTGGAAAATTCATGGACAAAACTGGCTTGTATCCAACAGTTATTACCTAAGCCGCCGCGTAAGACGTCGACGCTTACTCCCATTGTTGTGGTCATATATAACCGCGTTTCTCTCATGTATGTAATGAACAACACAAATCTCGTCATGAAAGTGGGGGAGCACTTGAGGGTTTACACGCCTGAAGACGGTAAAAGCAAATGGAAAATTGAAGAGTGCCGCCTAGGCAACAGGGGTTTTAAGGCGATTCTCTTTCGGGAGACGCTGGCGCCGCCGCCGTGTCTTTCCGATGAAGAACAACAGTAGTGTGCGTGAGTCCTAGGTTGAGCATTATTGCATGTTGTTGGGTTTGAATTTACCAGACTTTACTTTGGTTTGAAAGAATAATATATGTAGAATGAAGCTGCAAGTATAGTATTGGGTCATCAAATTATTGTAGCAATAGCCAATAGCCATCTATATATGCTTAGCAACAAAATTTAGCATGGCGGCTAGCTGTATGCTCATTAAACGTGTTAGGAAAAAAAATTGAAATAAAATTGGAATTACCATTAGATAATACCAAGTAGTTTTTAGCACTGTCTATATCAAATTTAATAAAGTGTTTGACATTCAACAGATAGTGAATAGCGTTATTAGTTTTGACCGCCGGATTGTATTAACGGTTTGCAAAATAATATTTGATAATAATAATAATATGACGAAGACGCCAGCATGGGTAGCTCAATTGGTCTTAGAGGTGAAACTTTGGAATAATGACCAAGGATCGAGTCTCACCAGCGGCAGTGTGGGAGCAATCTCTCAAAGTGAGGATGGGCTTCTTGTGCGCAGTGAGCACCGGTCTAGCCTCTATGGTTCATGTTCAGTTGAGTCACCATGATTTACTAAAGGGATTATGATGAAGGGAAAGGGAAAGGAGGGATTGAACGCCACTTCTATTTCACCCATGCGGCTTGCCCATGGTTCATGTTCAGTTGAGTCACCATGATTTACTAAAGGGATTATGATGAAGGGAAAGGGAAAGGAGGGTTTCACCCATGCGGCTTGCCCATGGTTCATGTTCAGTTGAGTCACCATGATTTACTAAAGGGATTATGATGAAGGGAAAGGGAAAGGAGGGATTGAACGCCACTTCTATTTCACCCATGCGGCTTGCCCATCTGATGTGGAAACACATCATGTCATGATTCTTTCATAAATTTTAACTAAAACTATCTACGGTCATGATTCTTTCATAAATTTTAAGAAGTTGAGTAGAATAGAGGAATGAATTGATGAAAAAAAAAAAAAAAAAAAACTCAAAACCGTGTGGAGTAACCAAACAAATTTTGGTGGACTTGCCATTTACTAAACAAGGCCTGTGTCATAATTTTTAAATTGATCATCTATTATTAATTTACAAAAAATAGTTCCTAACTATACAAAATTTTTCTCATTTTAATTTATTCCTCAATCTTATATGGAGGACTAAACTGGGTAAATTTTTGACTAATTGAGGGACCATTTTGAGTAATCGATGGATTAAGAATGAAAATGATTTCAAAATTATGATTTCAAATCATACTATCAAAATTCAAAAATAATGATAGTAATGGCACAAAACATTGATCCATCGATTCAAAAACCAACAATCGTTATTACTATAATATAATATAATATAATATAATTCTAATCATTATTACATAACAGTAATAACGGAATAATCAATTTTCTTAATTATAACCGAACAACATTTAATTATAATAATAATAATAATCATTAGTATTATTAAATTTACATAATATCATCAAATTACCATAAAAGTTTTGGCAAGCAAATTCAAATGAATTTCAAAATATGATTCTTAACATCATAATGTAAATTATTATAACAATAATAAAATAATATTCAATTAGAATAAGGTTCAAATTGGCCACTGAACATAACCTGAAAATGTAATTAGGTCACTGAACGAAAAAAAAAAAAAAAAGTGCAATTAGGCCACTGAACACTCCAAAAAGTTCAATTAGGCCACTGAACACTCCAAATGTATGCAATTTCATCGGATAGCAGGTTACCATCAATTTTAGCAGGTTACCTGCTTACGTGGCAGCTGAGTTGGCATTTTTAATAATTTTTAATAAATGTTAATAATTAATTTTAAAAAATTGAAATAATTTAAAATAAAATAAAAATTAAACGAGGGGTGGCCGTCTTATTTTATTTTAATTTTTTTTTTTAAAAAATTATTATTAAAATTTATTAAAAATGCCAACTCAACTGCCATGTTAAACAGGTAACCTGCTAAAATTGATGGTAACCTGCTATCAGGTGAAATTGCATACATTTGGAGTGTTCAATGGCCTAATTGCATTTTTTTTTTTCGTTCAGTGGCCTAATTGCATTTTCAGGTTACGTTCAGTGGCCAATTTGAACCTTATTCCTATTCAATTTTCATAACCATATGCTTTTCCTTACATCCTTAATGTCTCAAAATATGCGAAAACAATAATTATATCACTTTTTTTTGACAATAAATTTTCAAACATTTCATTTAAAAATTACAAATATACAATTTAACAAATCAAACAAGTTAATCAATAAATCTTCATTATAGTAGATAAACGAAGCGTATGCGAAATAGTGAATTTTGAAAAGTCAAATTCACATTTAGTTCGTTAGTAGATGATTTTCATTAAGTGGATTCACAACAGAGTATATTTGATGAATTTGTGAACACTCCTACTTTATATGTTTATGTATATAATCAATCGAAAATCAAACCATCTTTGTCTTTGGAATATTGTTTTGTTGTACAAGTGGCTCATCCGGTTTTGGAAAACAAGGGTCTATTGGATGTACATGCATGTTAAGAGTTACGGAGTACTATATAGTATATTTTAAGCATTTTTATTTAATACAAATAATATAATAAATGATATTTATTTATTATATTATTTTGACTAATTATAAATTTAGTCCATACATATGGTTAGAAATTTCTTACTCTTAAAAGTTAAAAACATAAGTAACAAAGAATGAAGTTTACCCCGTGCATACTCGTCCCATTTCTTGAGTGGCGCGGTTTTTTCATTCAATGACTCCGTTTTGTTGATGTGTCTTTGGTGCTGAGTACTCATGGGTAATTCCTGATTTATTGCAAAATGTATCGAACAGGTTGTTGTCGAATTTCCTCCCGTGATCACTTCGAATTCGAATAATAGGTTCATTTCTTTCCTTTTGAAGTTTCAGTCCCAGTGTTTTGAAAGCTTCAAGTGCTTCGGATTTTTCACTGAGAAAGATTACCCACGGAAAACGTGAAAAATCATCAACACATACTAGTATGTATTTCTTACCTCCAAAACTCTCTGTTTGAGTTGGACCAAAGAGATCCATGTGGATCAGTTTTAGGCAATGACTCATGTTTATGGTATGTTGAGCTGGATGAGATGATTTGGTCTGTTTCCTAGCTTGGCATGCACCACAAATGGTTGATTCGACTTTCATCCTGGGTAAACCACGAACATCTTCTATCTTCATTTGTTTATCAAGTAGTCTGTAACTCAGATGTCCCAGTTTTTGGTGCCATAGCTCAGCTTCATCTATGCTGGTCCAGCAACAGAAGATATGTTAGTTAGACTATAGCAATTGTCAATTGACCTTTTACCTTCCATAACGCATTGATTTGTTTTGTCCATAACACTGCAGCTGTTTTTGGTGAAACACACATTCCAGTTTTGGTCGCATAGTTGACTTATGTGGATAAGATTTGCGTGAAGGCCACTGACAAGCAATACTTTGTCAAGCTTTGGCAAGCCAGCTACATTTAGTGTGCCTACCCCAGTAACCTGACCTTTAATACCGTCGCCAAAGGTAACTTCACCTTTGCTGGCATTTATGTTACTTAGGAATTTGGCATGTCCTGTCATGTGACGGGAACACCCGCTGTCAAAGTACCATTTCTCTTCTCTTCCTGCACTTTTAGAGTGAAAAGAAACAACTGAAATATTGTCAGTCTTTTTAACTCAAATCTGTTTTGTAATGGGTTGAATGTTCTTGTGCCTAAACTTCTCGATTCTTTGATCCTTGTAAAAGTAGTAGCATTCAGGTTTGGTATGACCTCGTAACCTGCAATATTGAAATACGGGGTTATAGAATTTATAATGTAGCGTATTTGATCTTACTATACCATGGGTGCGTTTCATTGTGCTGGATTCAGGGATGTCCTCTGGATCAGGTCCAGACGCTTTGACAAATACCATTTTATCTTTTGAGTTGCTTCCGGTGAAGCCCAAACCAAATTTTGCAGAAGTTTTTCTTCCGGAATCAAGGATTTTATCAAGTGTTGAAGTGGTGTCCATCATTTGGATTTGTCGTTTGAAGGTGCTTAGCTCCTGCTTCAAGGTCTGTACTTCTTGTTGTAGTTTCTCTTCTCGGTCAGCTGCCTTTTTAAGCAGTACATTCTTATCAACTATTTGAGTTTGATATACTTTGCTAGCATTTGTTACAATCTTTATCTCACTAGCTAGTTTACGATTTTCTTTTCGTACGGCTTCCCATTTGGGATACAACTTATTAAACTCAACTTCAAAAGACAAGGCATTTAGTTCTAAATCTTTCGCGGAGACATATTCACCACCCTCTAAGTCAGCTCCTTCAACAGATCCCGAACAGCCAGCGACACGTGCAGTAAATGCGACAAAGTTACCCGAGATTTCTTCGACATTAGATCCAATTGTTTCAACATTAGGCTCGTCGTCACTCCAGGTAATGGCTGACATAGACTTTTTGCGTCTAAGGTAGGTGGCACACTCTGCTTGTACATGTCCAAAGCCTTCATATTCATAGCACTTAATTCCTTTATTGTTAGGTTTTTCTTTGGACTATCCTGGGCGTGAGAAGGACGGTTTGAAGTTTGATGAACCTGTCCTGGGACCAGCTTTGGACGATGTTGCTCATCTATATGGATTTCTGTCGCGTGAATTTTTGGATACCTGTTTCAGAATTTTAGAAAACTGTTTAGTAAAAAAGACAACTGTATCAACACCTGTTTCGTCTGAATCAGATACAATATTATTTTCTTCAGCGGCAAAAGCTACATTTTTTTGTTTTTTCATTTTCGTGTGATCAGTTAAAATTTCTATTTCATATGTTCTAAGATTTTCCATTAATTGAGTAACAGTTTTGTTCTCTCAGCCGTCGTGTTCCTGAATAACCGTGACTTTCATTTTGAACCTCGGTGGTAAGGACCTCAGAATTTTTATAACAAGTTTTGCTTGTGGGAAAGGTTCACCGAGGACCATCGCACGATTTGCCAGTTCTTGTAC